TTTTGGCGAACACTGCAGTTATTGTTGTGCCATTTATCAAATAATCTATGTTTGGATGGCATCTAACGGGGGCCAAAGAAAGGAGCTGTTGCGAAAACGGCCCACCACAGGGAAGGGGAGTTAAATTGATTGGATTGCGTGGATTTAAGTAGGCCCAATTTAACAATAAAATAATTGTCAATTGTATTCCGATATACATATGTATCTAGGTTTATTATTATGTTAATTTTTTTTTTGGGCAAGTTGTTGTTGTTGTAGCGGCAGAAAACATGCATAATTTAGAGGAATGCTGGCGCTTTGACAGTCCTAAGTCGGATAAAAATCTGAGTCCGCTAAGGTTACGTAGATCCAACTGTCGTGAGAACGGTCCCTAGGCGAATTCAGACAGGGTAGTGGCAATAAAGTAGCGAATTGCTTTAGTACTGCCAATATCAACTTGTATTCGATTGCATGCTATGACCCGTACGCTTGCAGAGAAGCAGGTTAAAAATTAAATATATATATAATACATGTGTATGTTTACAATTGTGAGGGAAAATCTGAATATATTTCCACTTCTGCTGTTTAAGTGCTTTGCTGCCACCATACATAGACTCCTCTTGCATCTCCATCTTCTATTTTTCATAATTTTTAATACGTCGTCGTGAAAAGCTTATGCGAAATTTAAAAATTTTGCCAAATACTTGACATGCATAAATATAAACATACTTAGCGCTTATAAAGACAAGCCCCCTGCCGTTCGCTTTTTGCTAGGAATCTATATTATATAAAACCAATAGTTTAAATTTCAAAATACTTGCGTTAAATTTATACACACAAGCACATGTGTGTGGAAAACAAGCAAACTTACCTGGCGCCAAAGTACGGTATCAGTAAGTTCGGCATCTCAATAGTCTACAGAAATTCTTAGTGTAAATTCTTAAGGCTAGTTTTTACTTTGGGGTACACCGTATGATGTCAAAGAACTTTTCGAGGTGAAATTCCAAATTTATTCACAAGCATTTGCGCGCTGATGTAATACCTAAAAACTCAAGCAACAATTGTTGTCATAATGTAACTGTGACCGTAGTGTGACGTCAACTGCTCTATGAGGGCAGCAACAACAAACTTTTACGTACAAAAATAAATAACAAAACTGCTTTAAAAGCACAACAGTCCGCACTGAGACATATGGTCTCAACAACACTATTATAGTTCATTAGACAGATGTTGCCTCAGTGCTGTATGTGTGAACTTGATAAACATTAGAATTTGTTCATATATTGTGAATTTTTTTTGTTTGCTGCTTATATTATATTACAGTCACATAAATGTATTTCGAATGTGACGAGTTGAAGGAACGAATTCATGGTCAGATTGTGAACAGTGTGAAACAATTAATAAAAAAAAACAACAATGGCAAGGGTAGTAGAAGACAAAGGGCAGCGATCGCACTCGCTAATGGCAAGAAACTCACGTATATGTAACTATAGCAAACGCAATAACAATCCATAAGATAGTAGCCGATATAAAGAAGAATTAAATAAATTAAACAAACTAACCATATGTACATGTTAGAGTGGATCAAAAAAATTTTAATTTTTCGATTAAGTTAAGCGTTTACGAGATAGTCATAGTCAAACATCAATGAAAAAAAGATTATAATAATAATAAGAAAGAAATAATAATAATAATAAAAATAATTTTAAAAAAAATAATAAAAAAAAATTAAAAATAAAAAAACATAATAATAAAAAAAAATGTAATAAAAAAGGAAAAAAATATTTAAAAAAATAATTTTAAAAAAACATAAAAAATAAGAGTTTCTTATAAACTATGAGTAGTTGCTATTTAAAATGATTCTTTATTCATTGAGTCATAAAATTCATAAGAAAAACAAGTAAGGAAGAGCTAAGTTCGGGTGTAACCGAACATTTTATATTCTTGCAACTTGTCAGGTTCAATGTTTGGGAAAGACCCTCAGGTGCACAAGGTATGTTAGAACAACAAAAATCAATACATGTATATGGTAGTTTGGGTAATTTGTGGACCAATTTCACATATTTTCGGCATTAAACTATAGTACTTTTAACAATATTATATATTTCTATATGTTCACTGTAGGAACTGGGGCCATGCCAACACAAATCACAATCGTAAGAGACTTTTTTTTGTATGTAGAACATTAAATTTCCTACAAAATCTATAAAACGATATATTTTTCCAAGTAGTTTGAAGGGAGAGTTGAAATTTTCTATCTGATAATAAGAAAAAAATAAAAAATAAAACTGTAACGAGGAGGATCTTCCCGTTACAGTTAAGAGCTCATACTTGGAGAGACTTTTTTAGAAGCGTCTAAGAACCTATTTTTTAAAGTACCAAGTGAAAAAAATATTCGTTTTTTTGAATCACCCCAGTATGGTAGATTTGTATGTAAGCCGGCATACATATAGATATGTACATATAAATGTATATACTATAAGAATAATTTAGCCAGTCAGCAGTCATTAACGAATATTCATGTAACAACATACATACATATATTGAAATTTGTGAGATTCATTGAACGCGCTCATCATTGTAGAAGTCAAGTTCATGGCAAACAGAAGTAGAAGTCGTAAAGGCTAAACATGTGCACATACGACTTCCCATATTTGAACGAAATCATCTCAAACAGCAATAAATTACTTAAAAGCTAAAATAAAGAACGAATAATAATCAAAAATTTATCGAAATTTACAAGATCATTTGTTAGAAAATAGTTTTCCTGCAGAGGTTTTTCCTCATAACTTCGTCAATTTTACTACAATCGACTTCAAATTAAGACACTACATTCTTGAATTATTATGCATTCATTAAAAAAATCGAAAATAAGTTTAAAACCCCTACTCTTCCCTTAAGTGCTTTAGTTAAAAGCCAGTGTAGGCTGTATGGAAACTATCATCCAAAAATGTAACAATAAATCCTAGATTAAGTATTAATTCACAGCTCTTCATTGTTAAGACCGAACAAAATATTCAAAATTATATTAAATGTACCATATTGAGTAAACACATATACGAGTATTTTATAGATTTTTAAGTTTGTGTTAACGTTGGTTGTCCCTTCTACAATAATTGTCTGTTTTGTGTATACGCTTCTAAGCAAGTAATAATCAAGTGCAAATATATTCAGCTACCTGGAGCAAACCACCACCTTCATCATATTGTCAACAAACATGCCAGCACTTCCAGGCTTGTTCAAACGTGAGTAAATTTGTTTAAATTTTATGTGTGCTTTACCATATTCCACTTACCAATTGGCATCGATTCTATTAAGTAATGCTTTGAATTATATATTTTAAACATTTCAAACACAAATGTTTTATACAAATTAAAACACTATATTTTAAGATTATAATTGCAGATAAAACACAAATGGCATGGAAACACAAATAGAACTAACTTTTGTTGTTGTTTTATTGCTTAGCACATCCATTTTAAACGCTGCTTTATCTCGCTGTTTATTTTGGTTCTATGGCTTTCAGCGCCAATTTGAAGTTATCGATAACAATCATTATCGACCAATGCAACTCGTAGAGTTGCATGTAATTGTTTACAAAATAAATAATGCAGTGAACCATGGAAATATATGCAAAAGCAAAATTTGTAATAAATATAGGTGAAATAAAAAGTTCGTTCGATTTTTATCTAAAAGATGGCGTTATTGTCCATAGTACTAGTGTTACGTGTCGCATCATGGCATACTATACGGCGCTGAAAACGTGTTTATTCGCGCTAAAAGTTTGTCTTTGACAATTTTTCGATTGATTGGCGAAAGCGGCTGAAAAAATTAATTTAGTTTATGGGCCCGATACTGTAAACGAACGTGTAGCACAAAAGTGGTTTGCTAGGTTCAGTTCCGGTAATTTCGATGTCAAAGATGCACCACGAGTTGAGAGGTCTGTCGTCGAAAATTGCGATAAAATCATGGAAATAGTATAAACAGATCGTCACGTGATCACTTATTTAATTGCTCGATGTTTGGGTGCCACACGAACTAACACAAAATAACATGATGGACCGAGTTTCCATCTGCAAATCACAACAAAATCGACCCGTTTCTGAAGCGGTTAGAGACTGGCGGTGAAAATTGGATCACTTACGACAACGTCAAGCAAAAACGGTCATGGTCGAAACGCGGTGAGCCGGCGAAAACGGTGGCCAAAACCGCATTGACGGCCAGGAAGGTTTTGCTGTGTGTTTGGTGAGATTGGCAAGGAATCATCTACTACGAGCTGCTCCCCTATGGCCAAACGCTCAATTCGGCCCCCTATTGCCAACAACTTAACCGCTTGAAGGCAGCTCTCATCCAGAAGAGACCATCTTTGATCAACAGAGGCCGAATTGTGTTTTATCAGGACAACGCCAGGCCACATACGTCTTTGGTGACGAGCCAGAAGCTCGAATAGGAGGTCCTAATGCACACACCTTACAGTCCGGACCTGGCACCAAGCGATTACCATCTTTTCCTGTCCATGGAGAAGGCGCTTAATGGTGAGAAGTTGGTCTCAAGAGAGAACTGTGAAAATTGGCACTCCGATAGGGGTATAATGAAGTTAGCAACAAGTTTACGAACAAAACGGCACATATTTGACTTAAATTGGACAAATGTACACAAAGTTATCATCTTTTGAAAAAAAAAAAAAAAAAAAAACCGAATGAACTTTTTACTTGACCTATTATTTAAGATACATATTTGTATGTACATATGTCTGTAATTATATTGTAATATTATAAACTCTATCAAATATTTTTCTTTTCAAATAAAGTTTTATTTTTTCTCTTAGGAAATGTAAGTTTAAAACAGCAATATGGAATGTCCATTTCACTGAGTCTTTGTCCTTGATTAAACAATTATATTGGCACGTCAACGCCACACTAAAATTAAAGAAATATTCACTTTTATTTATGAAATAATCAAACTTCTCGCTTGCATACGGTATGTTCACCTTTACATGTCCTCCACACTGTATAGATATGCTTCTTCCTGGAGCGCACGTTTCTCATTTTGTACATCAAACCATTTCTTTTCAAAACCATTAGACCTGTCCACACCATCCCATCTATAACCGGGGCGTATACCGAATCGATTCTCTGGAAATGAGCCTTCGTATTTGGGTATTTCGACCAAAGATCCCTGATCCTTTTGACGCTCCTTTTTCTTCTTTCGCATATAATCCAACATTGGATCTTCAGCGCGCTCTTGGTCTCGTAGATAATTATCCAAATCTTTGTCGTTCTCATAGCGCGCTAACGGTTTACTACCTTCGTAGCTTTCAGCTACAGTGCGTTGTCGATACTCTTCTACTTGCTTCAAACCTTTGCCCCAACGGTCATATTTCTCTTTTTTCTTGCGCTCATGTTCTTCTTTTCGTCTCCGCACCTCAGGGTCTTCTGCTTCAGCATCACGTGCACGTTGTCCCTTTCGACCCGTGCTACGTACACGCACCTCAGCATCCCGTCCAGATACTTCTTTAGACATTTCATTATACATGCGTTCCTCTCTACGGTGACGTTCTTCGGTTTCATGTGTTAGCGCTTTGGCATCTTGCAGACCAGCTTTCTTACCGTCGAGTGTTTTACTTGCTTTTGGCTTATGTGTAGGCGGTGGAGAATCGCTATCTCTTTGTACAATCTTAGTCCATCGACTATGTGTTTGTGGCGGCGAAGATGGTTGTTCTTTTTTCGCAGCAACTTGACGTAGTCTTGATGGTGATCGTTTTGGCGAAATTTTCTCACGTTTTATGGGAACGGGGGAAAAGTTTTTTTGGCGCTTACCGTCGTAACGCCTTGGAGGCGATTGATCACTAGAATTTCTTTCGTTTCTCCTAGCAGGTGAAATACTTCGCTTCCTACTTTTTCCTGAATTGTTTCGCCTTGGTGGGGACTGATCAGACGATGAGTTCCGTTTATTACGGCGTTGTGGGCTCAGGCTAACGTTTCTACTTCTACTTCTATGATTTTTTTTGGACCTCTGTGTTTCTGTTCTAGGCGGGCTTTGGTCAGAACTAGCAGATCCAGCCGCATGCTTTCGACTAGATTGCTTTATTTCTCTATAAGGTGAACGGTATTTTTCTCTGGACGAGACTTTTTGTGGTGATCGACTTCTTGTCGAATTCTGACGATGTTTAACTGCGGAATTGTTTCTCTTAGGACTTTGGTCTGAATGTTGACGTCCATTATATGTTTTATTATTTCGATTATCTCTTCTCGCCGGACTTTTATCAGAAGTATCTTTACCTCTTCTCTGAGGATCGCCATCTCGATTGCTTCTTCTAGGTGGACTATTATCGGGTGTGCGTTGATTTCTACTCATGTGCGTTTGTTTCGATGTGTGTTCAGTTTTTCTTGGTGGGCTTTGGTCAGATGAATATCTTCTTACTTTATCTACTCGGCCATATGGAGAGTGCACATTTTTTCTAGATTTTCTTTCCTCCGGTGAAGTATAATTTCTTGCAGATTTGGGCGACGCCTTATCACCATTTTTCTGTCTTTGAGGTGAACTGTACTGTGTACTTTGATTCAAGTCCATTTTTGTATTACGACGTGGCGGTGAAAATTCATCCTTAATTTTACGTTTTATTTGTTTGGGACCCCACAATTCTTGTTGTGGCTTACTATTAGCAATCTCCTCAGGCTCATCCTTCACAACTATACTGCGCCACTTTAGTGCATTTGATGCGTTGCTGACGTCTTCTATGTATTCAGCCACTATTTGTGGCGCATCTTCACCACCTAAAATAAGTTCCTCATCGAATTCCTCCTGCGTTTGACTATAGGCGACATCGTCATCGATAATTTTCACTTTAGCAGCGCCAAATTCTTTCTTATGTTTCTTGTCCTTCTTTTTCTTTTTCACTTTATCCCCGGATAAATATTTCTTTAAATATTCTTTCTGATTAATTTTTGTAGCGGCGTGTGATGACATATTTTATTGTTTTAAAGAATAGTAACTTTATTAATAAATAAAAGGTTTTAAAGGGATAAACAGCTGCTTCGCTGATTTTTATTTGCTGGTAAGCTATTCACAATAGAGGTGTACATGTGAACGCTTACCGCTGTTTAATGCCAGCGCCATCTGCTGTTAATATATGTTGATGGTGTGGAACTTTGATAATAAGTTGAACCAGAGAACGTAAATGAATTCATTTGATGATTTACGTTCTCTGCTAGAACAAACGATTTTCAAAATCCGTATTTTACGTACATTAGAGGTTGATATGTTAAGAAACCAAGGTTTTATAACTTTTCAGCACACAATTTTAAAATGTAAAAACTGTTTTAAAATTAATGTTGTATAAAAACTAATATCAGAGAACGTATATATGTTCGCTGCTAATATTACGTTCTCTGATGATATACGTTCTCTGCTAGTACTGTTCGATTATCTGTTTTCAGCACATCAGCCGGTAGTTAAACGTCAAAACGAAAATATTTAAAAAAAATCCCGTGATTGCAAGAAAGTAGTACGATTTGAATTATATACCAATGTTTCTTTAAATAATTATATATTATAAAATAAAGTTGCGCAGGGCGTACAAATGTATACAGACATATGCGTTTTAAGTGAAATGGTACAAACTGATTGTCTTGATCGAATATGGATAATAATATCCATATAATTATGGATATTGGTACGTACATTTGATTTTAACTAACCTTAAAATTGTAATTGGAAAATATTTGACTTTTTTTATATTGAGTGGCTGTTATGGATGTAAACGTTATGCTATTAAATTACCTATTGCTAATTCTACCCTGTGCGCCAAGAAGCTGCTGCTTATTTCGCTTATTAGTCTACTCTCCTATGTTCTCATTTGCGTCCGGCCCTGATAAAGTGAATCGCTCATTAGAAACTATTGCACCAATTAGCGACAAATCAATTTATGTAAATTTAAATTGTCTATTTGTTGTTTGTTGTAATTCACAGTGTTCTGTTAGTAATATTGTTCTTCTATTTGCTTTTGTTGTAATTTATTTGTTATGCAAAAAAATAGTTTGTCAGTTTGTACATACATATGTATGTACACATTTATATAATTATCTAGCTTGGAATGTGGGCGCGCATTCATTTACATAATATATAAACTAGCTGCCGATGCAAATAAGAAAAATGAATAAGTACTTTAAAAGGAATGCCTCATTATTACAATAGTTGGATGCAGACTATTTGTTTTGTTAAGAATTGTTATATAATTTTAGATGCTAGAATATGCATTTGAATACATTCTTGATAATTGTGTTGTTGTATTTTAATGTTTGAAAACAGGAAAAAATGTTAACTTAAAAATGTATACCGATGCTGGTATTCTCTTCACGAAATTATCATACGAGAACTTGATTGTGATCGGCCGGTTTGTATTACAGCTATAAGCTATAGTGGTTTGTTCTGAACAAACTTTTTTTGAATTTGTACCGTTGTCTTGGACAATAACTCATGCCAAATTTTGTGAAAATATCTCGTCAAATAATAAAGTTTTCCATTTCAAGACTGGACTTTGATCGATCAGTTTGTATGACAGATATCAAAAGAAAAAAAAAACGGGGGTCCTGTATATACAGACAGGCTAACATTGGTAAATGAACTCAGCTCGTCACGCTAATAATTTATACATACATATATGCATACATATGTATGTCTATATTATATAGTGTCTGCAATGAGACCTTCTGAGTATTACAAACTTCGTGGCAAACCTAATATACCCTGTTCAGGGTGTAATTATATACCTAAATTATATTATTTTTTCATGATATTTATCTTGTCAAAATTTCCTATCAGGATATACTTACATACATACATACATACATACATATGTATATCTTATGGTGAGTTCAGCTTTTCTAGAAGCCATCCTGTGCATAAAGTAGATGGATTTTCGCGAATACCATTTCGAATTTACATCTACAAGCTAAGTAAATAAGGAAACGTTGGTTAGCAAACAAAACAAATACAATTAAGTGGATTTAAGGTAATAAAGGAATCTGCCTTTCTTATATATTTCCCAGAACCACTTACACCACAGTTGCCGTTGCAATGCGGTTTTGACCATCATAAGCAATATGAATTACAATAGAACTACAAACGCATAAAAGCCTTTACAAGTGCATATTCGTATCTGTGCACATATGCGTTATGTCTTAAGCATATTGTATTTCATTTTGAATGGTTCAAAATTTAGCTGATATGCCAAACACGCGGCCCACGAAAAATCTTTTTTCATCATACACCCAGGCATACATACATTCTTATTTACAAACATGGTGCACCCAATTGCCTGGAAATATTTGGAAGGCGCCAACATCTTAGTGTTTGTTGTAAAAGCAATTGAGAGAAAGGCAATAAAAATTTGAAAATAATCAGCATCGAAAAGTAAAGTAAAAATATATATTATATGTACATATACACATATGTATGTATAAGCATACTATATGTAGTTATTTATGTGCGTACACAGACGCTATATTTAAACAGCAAGTGTTTGGTCTCGGTGCTTATTTGTTTTCATATCTGCGCTTTTATAGCACACAGCAGCAGTTTCGTTAGCGCTATTGTGTACATAAAACCGTCTAAAAATAAATGTTTGACGAAATGTGCACAGGATTATACTTAAATGCTTTGACAAGTGTAGCTACATATTTCAGTATGCGCCAGCCAATATCTTTGTTGAATAATTTAAACCACTCAAGTGACCACATTAAATGTCTTTCGATTATCTTCTAACTTTACAAGCGACAATTCGACCTAACCGATACATTTCATATGGAATGTAAATTAATATATAAATATTTACTGAGCTATAATTGTGTGGAAAGTAATAGCAGCGTGCAACTCTCCACAAATAAATATAATTTTTATAAATAAAAAAAGTTAGGTTATGTTAGGCGAATACGCCAAATATAAAACTATTGGTCTGTAGCGTTGCAAAATGAAACTGAAACATGTCAAGGATTTGCAAAATTTAATACATTTTTATTTCTAAGAAAACTATAATGCAACATTTTTTTTACACAGCACTGTACGCAAGTACTTTTATAGCAACACTTTCATTTTTATATTCATTGTCCAGCAATGCTGTATTTTGACCGCAGATGTGCATAAGCCGTTAGTCTACGCAAGTAAAATTGACAATACCGAAAAAATGATTGGAATTTAGCAGAGAGCGGGTTGACATTTAGCATTGATACATGCACATTAAAACATATGTATGTTTGTATGTAAGTATGTAGATATCTATTAAATAAATGCCATTACAACTACTCGTCGCACGCACTACTCCAAAAATACCCAAAATATTGTACTAATGCTATGCAACCCCATTGTGTCCAACACAATACTTCCTCATGATAATCAGCTGCACAAAAGGACTAAATTGTTTAAGGTACTTTTTTTCGCCTTCACTTGATTTTGTCATCGATAAGAACCGAAGTGTCAAACACACACATTTGTGCATATGGCGGACCATGTCTATTGTAACGCAGCAACGCATGCGACATGTTCATTACTGTTCGCGCCATTTTCGCTGCTAAATTATATATAGTAGAGCTATAGTTAGTCATAAAAGTATTGATACTCTAAATAGTGCCGAAAGCATTTTTTCCCTTTGAGACAAACTTTTAATCGATTTTTCACGAATTGCTTTATGCTACTAACTCTTCTTTTCAATACTGCCAAGCCTACAATGCGTCCGTGGAAACAATTTTTAGGCAATATCTGCAACCTTACATCATGTTCACATCAAAAATTTGAAGTGATTAGATTACATTTAATTTAGTTCACTTATCTAGACTGTCCTCACTGTTGTTGGCGATTTATAAATCAGCGGTTTTTGACCAGCCGTTCGAAGCTGTGTCAATTTTCTTGCCTCAAATCTATTAGATCGGCTTGGGCGGCCTCACTTCACCTTACTTGCCTTGTTTTGATACTATTTTCTGCCATTTCCACTTACCATACTTGATATTGCTTCAATTTTTTGCTTAGCGTACTTTAGCGCTTTCCTCGGTTGGGATTTGAAGCTGTGATATACCGTTTAATAGTAAAGCACTCGGCAGCACAAATTGCCTGTATTTATAAAAGATAATAGTTTAAAATCTAACGTTAAATCAAAGTCTCTTGTCTCAGCAATTATTTCGTTGAGAAAGAGCTTTCAAAATGCTCATAAAAGCTGTAACTGACCGAACAAAATCAAGATAAAGAGCTCGTTCCCCTTTTATGCAATAAGAAATGCACCTGTGAAGGGTATTATAGTTTCATGTTTTTCTTGTTTTTTCTTTCTTAATTTTGTATTATTTTAGAAGCTTAATATATGCGTTTTTTTTTATAAACTAATCGCATATTTCAATTCCGGCATTTTCCAACAGCCCTTCTGTAACCCCAGAATCTCAACTGTGTCACCACTTTTGGTCGACACTGTATATAAAAATAGTATAGCACAATGTTATTGGGTGTCATAGGGATCGGAGCCTGTGCAAGATAATCACATAGGCAAATAGAAAAGCAATCAGCAAAAATAACAGAACACAAGCGCGTTTCATCAGCCATTGTATGGACCAATGTATGCTTGTGTGCGTGTGTGTGTGTGTGTGTGTATGGGCGTGTATTATTACTATAAAATGCGAATTCACACAACAAACAAACAACGAAGATTTCGTCGGCGGCGTAGCGACCCATCGCTGTCTGGGCATAAGTCCATTGTGCTAACTAAATTAAAATTTAACTATATTTGAGCATTTCTTTCTAACTGACAATTACACACACACACACATATATATATTATATATATGTGCTTTCCTTTATGTACTTTGTAAATATATATGTAGTTGTGCGGTTGTGTGCGTGTGCGTGCTTATGGGTTGTGACATAGCATAAAAGCGTACAATCGAAGAAAAAATCACGTTCGCATAAATAACCAACATAAACGCATTGATTGCTTGACGTGGGACAACAACTTTATAGTAAAATTCAAGCTCACAAACTCAAGCGTGCTTATGTGTGTGTGTGTGTGCATGCATTGTGTGTTGACAGGCCGCCGTATCGACGGTAGACAGCATCAAACCCATCAATATGTACATATGTACATATATGTTGAGAGTGTGTGCGAAAAAAAATACAGATTTATTCTCCTCCAGCTTGTTGTTGCTGTTGT